TTTCTTTTAAAAATACTTAGTGAGCTTGGTCCTCACTCATTAAGGCCTTTGTATATAAGGAGGAGGAACTTAAAATCAATTCTAAATGTAACAGGAAGCCAGTGCAGAGCTGGACTGGACTGATGTGCGCTCTCCTATTGGTTCTGAGGAACAGCAGAAATGCAGAGTTTTGAAAGAGCTGAAGTCTCGCAGTGTTTTTTTTGTTTTTTCGGGAGCCCAGTAAAAACTGCATTACAGTCATCAAGTCGATTCTTTCAGCATCTTATTGTTCTATGAATGGCCCTACTTTAGCTGTTTCTAAGGTGGAAAAATTATATTTTCGTCACCTTGTTGATGTGAGACCTGAAGCTTAGATCTGAATCTAAGATAACACAGAGACTTGTAACCTCAGGTTTATTCCAGGGTTAATTTCCCCAGGTTATTGAGCAGCATTTAACTTAGTGAAGCTGCAAATAAATTCGGATGACATAAAGCTCATAGGTCAACATCATATGTCAACACACCTGTGTCATGTAAGTGCTGCCATTGCCAGCCCCAGTGAGGATGGTTGCCTTGATGCCAGCTTGCTGTAAGGCTCTGTTGTTGAGGACCCAGTCATTGAGGCAGTAGGTGCTTCTACGGGTTTTACTGAAGAGGATCCCCCTTGATTGCACGCCTTGTCCAAACTGTTTAAGCAGAACGCTCTCAAGTTTGGCCATCTTTGGGTTCTCGTAACGAGAATCCCATGCAAGTTTCTTCAGCTCCACCTGATTCTCTGTGTAACAAAGACAATGATATTTATATTTGCTTACTTAGTGAAAATTGCATTGTGAGCTACAGCATGAATGAAAATCATGCACCCGAATCTATCAAGACAAGTGATGAAATTTTCCGTATTCCCACCTTGGAAAAGTCCCACCAGGAAGAGGTCTGTTCCGTCGATTGTTCTGGTTAACTTTGTGCTGTAGAATTCCTCCAGGGAGCAATAAGCATCCATCATTCGCAGGGTGTCGTTGATCAGGAGGGCGTCGTTGTACTGTCTGAGGTGGAGTGCACATTGTGCCAGCAGTCTGTTGTCCTCTTTTACCCCTGATCCAAGAAATTCACAAAGAACGTATGGTATTGCTTTCTGCTAACATTTGATTTACATTTAATTTGCCTCACCGTGTCACAAAGACAAATGAGGTCTCCTCAACATCACAAGTGAACACCCTCAAAACAACAATGTTAAAACTGTTCTTACCTCGCTGCTCTAAAATCACCACATCTGCCTCATACTCCTGTGTGCCACACTCTCTCAGTTTAAAGTCTGGAGGTAAGTTCATGTACTCGTGGATCAGCTCCATCATCCATTTCAGATGATTCCCAAATGGATCCTAAAAGAACAAAATATTGTCTTTTAGCAACTTATAGCAACTTTCTAATCGTTGTGACGACATAAATTTTTGTTTGTTAAAATGCGAGACAATCCCAGTGAAGCAGTATGTTGTTTTCACCCCATTCATCTTATTGTCCCCAGGTCAGATCAGCTGGGTATCAGCTGTAAGTTCTTCTGAATTCTATAAATAGTGCTTTTGTTGTTTAAAAAGAAAGAGACAAATTGGCTTACCGCTGGCCTTTTCTCCACAATGTCAAATGATTTGATGGGTCTGGGTACCTTCCTCTTCAGCTCAGGGGCATAGTTTTTAGTTGAGACTATGGCTGCGTCCAAGTTGGCACAAATCTGAGAGGGAGAGAGATGAAGAAGAAAGGAGTTGTGGGAGATCAGACAGATAGCTCACATTGTCAAGTGACAAATACAATAAAAGCCAAATACATAGACCCTGACCTGCAGGACATGCTCCACAGCCCTGATTAGGATCTTGGCGCCTCCTGTACCCGGTGATGCAGTGAGACCCAAGATCTGTGGCAGTCGACGTTCTCCTTTCAACTTTTTCTCCAAATAGAATCTCATTACCTTGTTGTAGACTGACTCCTTGTGGGTGTGGTGGCACTCATCAATTATCAGTAGAGTAATGTCTGTAAGGAACCATGAAGAGTCAATTCACCTTGTCATAACAACATCATAATCGAAGCTGTTGAAGCTCATTCTTACTAACCTGAGAGCTCCACATGTTTGGTTTCCTCCATGTTAGTCAGAGCGTTATATAAGATCTGTGCCGTGCAGATGACCACGTCGGACTTCTGCACCACTTTTCCAAAGAAGTCCTTCTCGTCACTCTCTCCACTGACTGGCACCACTTTGTAGTTTTGGTCCAGGTGAGGCTTGAACTCTTTCTTGTAATGTTGGTCTACAAGGTGAACCTGCATTACAAAATATGTTGAAAACATTGTATTTGGCCACCTGGTTCAACAATGATCCTTAACTGTATTTGTTATTATAACGAAAATGATTCTGTACTGTCCGTCCTGTCTGTTTTGTGCATTCTGTATACCTTGTTCACCAGGACCACCACCTTCGCCCGATCAGTGGTCTCCAGATGTCTTTTGGCCACATACACAGCAGCACGGGTCTTTCCACCTCCTGTCGGCAGCCAGATGATTATGTTCTCTCTCTGAAGAGCCCTCTCAACCACTTCCTCCTGGTATGTGTACAGATCAAAGTCTGCCATCCTAACGTTACTCCTGTTTGACAACACATCAGAATTACATAGAATTCCAAATACTGCAGGAAAGCAATAGACACTGGATTATACATCAAAACTGTTTGGATCATTGACAACACAAAGTCCGGCTAGATCTTAGTAGAGAGAAAACAAATGAGGATTCTGTGGGAGATGCATCCTGAATAAATTGTCCTCTCTGTGTCATTTCTCTATGAGCTGTTTGAAAGGAAGTTGGCCTTTATTAACTCACCAGTCAGCTGTAGAGAACCGTGTGCTGTTTGCAGCTTCTCCTTGCCCACTATCACTGTACAGTGCCGTTGGTGGGGCTTTTAAATTCTGCTCTGATCAGCTGTGTGACGCCAAGACGGGAAAACGAAAGTAAAGGCTCCTTTAACTCAGAAAAGTGGGCCTACTGAGGGAGGCTCTGGAGGACCAACACATAGCCATCACTATGCAGTGACAGGGGAATCCTGAACTACACTGACATGAAATATTCCTTACATAACCCTTTTTTGCTGAAGCCATATCCAAGCCTATATTTATATATTTATTTATGTTTTATCAATGGTATTTTCTCTATTAGCAGCACACAGCTGAGGTGTTCTGTTTAGGGTGATGAATATGTCCCATGTTTTTGCATGCACCCTAACAGGGCCCTACCCCATCAGGAAAGCGAAACCTAACGCCGATGACAGTATACTCAGGGAAACTCCTAAGTAGTTTTAACTTGTTTCCTGGCCCCAGGATATTCAGAAACTTTTTTCAGTTGCAAGTTATTGTTTTGCAGGACTTGTGAAAGTGTTAACTCATAATGACAATGCATAATGGTAAACATTTAAGAAGATAACAAGTATCATAGCTAGGAGCACTTTAAAATAACAAATATGCAGAATGGACTTCGTCCTGTCTGTTAACATTTTGACAATGCTACAGTCTTCAGAGATTAAAAGAAGTGAAAAATAACATCCAAAGCTTCTGGTACAACATGATATATCATATCATCATCAATGACCTCAATAAGGAAGCCATATACTTACACATAACAATAAACAAACTATTCCTGTCCTTTACAATACCTTCAGGGTAAAAAGTTGGGAACAATGAGAATCACAGGATCAATGAAAAAGTATAAACACAAAAAGAAATACAATGTGATGTTGGATGAATTACCCAAATCTAAAAAACTGGGTTAAAGTAAAAGAAACAGACACAGAACCTATAATCTATTCTGTGGGTAATTTCCATTAATCAGCACAAAACATGAATCACCATAATGTGCCTGTTCAAATGATACACACAGGATGACACAGGCAGCCCTCAACGTTCATTATGAGGTCTTAGATGTGGTTTAAAATGCTGTTATGATTAGCTGTGAGATACAGAGAAACGAAAGTAAAGTCTTTGTGCACTCTGCCTGCAGAATGGCCCTAGGGGGGAGGAGCTGGAGAAACAACAGAAGTCTTCATTACGCAGTGACAGATGAAGCCTAACTGACAGTAAGTCTTTCAAAAACCCTGTAGAGTCTGCCAATGGGTGAATCTGTTAAAGTTACCCTAAACTGTAATGCGGCTTACAGTTGAGGTGTTTTGATGAAGGGAGAGGCTCTTTGGCAGGTTTGGCATAAAGGACACAATGTAACTGACTGGGCGCAGCCTGTGGCTTATTCTCAATCAGGAAAGCAAAACCTGCAGCATGATGTTGCACAAAAAAAAGCACTGTACACAAATGCAACATAACAGACTCCTGTTTGACCACGAATGCACTGTGACCCACAATAAAAGATACAAAAATATTTTCTGATAATATAATTTGAACCAGTTAGGCCTTAATTAAAAGGTAGTTACTGAAGGCAGTTAAGGTAGCACAGTAATTCACAATGCTTTTCTTCACCAAGTTTAATATCCTTTCAAAATGTCAAACAACACCAACATAAATGTAGCATCTAGTGGCTGTAAATCCTGAATATTTAACATAAAATGAGTGTGTACATCTGCGGTTAAAAGCCTGGACAGGTGCACTTTGGTATGCAACAAATAAAAAAAAAAAAATTCACATGAAGAGAGATGTAAAATTACCTTCTTTTACTTCCCTGTAATCACCGTCAAAGGACAAAGTATACAGGGTGTTGTATGTTGTACAGAAGCACATTGAGGAAAAGGTATGTTTTTAGATAAATACAATCAACTGTGACAAAACAAGTGCAGATCTACAAGTAGGCGTACTAACAAATCAAGTCATGACAAGTAAGTGAAGTCACAAGATTTACTTCAGATTTACTTATTCTCAGGAAGTTATTTTGTCATGTCAGAAATCCCCAAAATCTTGACTGAATTGCATGCTTGTGTTTACCTGTTTCAGTTCCACTTGGTAATTGATGTTTTCACCCATCTTAGAAATCACATGCTCATTTAAGAATCATTTATAAAAAACTTTATTGTCATGAACAGTATTATAGTTACAGTAAATGGCATTTATACCATAACTAGAGACAGTAGCCATCCTCAAACTGGTGAAAAGTTCACTCAGACTTACCTTTTAAGAAAATCTGAAATGCAGCATAGGTAGACTGAGGAAGAACACACACACATACGCAATTGACAACCCTGAATAATGCAACACTGACATCACTTCAGTTATTCAAAGCTAGTCATGATTCAAGTACAAAATAAACATCCACTCACACACACACAAACACAAACGTACACAAGTCAATGAAAAATTCAACAAGCAGGCTCAACCAGCATTGGACAGTTACTTCCGATAAAAGAAGTGGATGCGTCTCAGGAAGCACTCTGTTTGACACTGACGGTGAACAGAGAAAGGTTTCCAACTTTTCATCACAATGTCTATAACACTGTATTAAAAAACCCTGCAACAACAAAGGCTAAAAGTTGGATGTTTTTTTGTTTTTTTTTAATCAATGCAAATTGTAAACTGTCCGTCATGCATGAACACCTACTACAGCTTGTGTATGTTGTGATAAATAAACCAGAGTTAAACTTTTTTTCCTAAAGCCCTGTGAGGACTGCTGGTTAGCTTCTCCCCCACCATGTTTGGGACTTAACAACATACTATCCAGTAAACCTGTGACACCACAACAAAAATGTGGCTGTACATGAAATAGACTACTTAGCATACGTGTGGAAGTGAGTGTACTACTGAACAAATCAACGCCAACAGCTACAGCATCCTCTCCAAGCGTGGTAAAAGCTATACTAATGTATGACCTCATCCTAAATGGTTTGGAATAAAACCCTGCCAGTGGAAAATGGTGTACAAACAGTACATTTCATATTTCCTGTATAAATAACTATCTTATGTTGTTGTCAACATGAAAACAGTGTTCTCTTGAAGGCAACAATTGAGGAAATTATTTCATTTAGCACACAAGTGCTGGCAGTCTCTCTATCTAGTAAGGGGTAGGGCTGCAACCAATGATTATTCTTATTATTCTGAGAAGGTTTTCATAATCACTCATATTTAGAATAAGTAAAAATGGCTACTTGTTTTTTTTTCTGACCAACAGTCAAAAAAAAAAAAAAAGAATCTAGATAATACACACTGGAATGAAAAAACAACAAACCCTCCAATGAGGCGCTACAGCAAGCAAATGTATGGTATTTGCCTTTTAACAACTTCAACAATTGTGTTCGATTAATTTCTCACCAATTGACTAATTCAATCATTTCTGCACTTCAGTAGACTGCACTACTTTGAATCAACAGTCAAAGCACTGCCCATCTTTCATAATCAAGGACTTCACCTCTGAAAGAACATTTATCTTTATACCCATGAAAATGGCCAGGATGTTCAAGTGTCTGTCAGTAACGGAAGGCAACGTGGCTTTAGGTCCCGAGGTCCAGTTTTCTGTGAAAGAACTCCACAACACATACACATCTGCTCGAGTGACGAGTTTTAAGCAAATTGGAATGAATGAATGTCTTTAAATGTGACAAAACCAGGTGAATTATACTATAAATAATGGTGGAAATAGTGGCATTGTTATAACTTGGACCTATAACTTTGGTACACTTAATGAAACATGTTACGATTATTAACTCACTGTGAGTACTGAGGAGGAAAAAGACAAGATAACTTTAAGTGGAAAGGTAATGCCATTTTGATACTGTGATGCTCAACTGGCTCTGATATTTCCAAACAACACTCATGTTTGTTCAAGTCCACCAATTCCCTTGTGAAAATTTCTAAGTCATGTACACACCCTTGTATTAACTTAGACATAAAAATAACTAGCGATAGTTTCCTCGTGATCTGCTTCATCCCGGTGTGTGGCAGCTGTGACGGTCACTCCTTGTCTGTAAATAATCCTGCGGCCAAGTTCATTTCTCAATCAGGCCTCCATCTTTTAATTTGAAGTAGAAGAACTTCTCCAAGGTGTTGGCACACTTGCAGTACTCACTGTCTGGAGGGTTGTACTCGCGACAGTTAGTGATGATCCGCTGCAGGTCAGCAATAAAAAGCTTCTTGGTCACATAGTATCTGTTCTTCAGTCTCTCTGTCATGGTCTTCAGGTCTGCAGGGACCAAAGGACAAAAAAGAACAATTAATGTAAATTACTCATGATTTAACTAATGAAAAGTGTGTGAGACATAAACAGGCAGTTAAAGTAACCAGGAGGAGTAGTCGCATAATCAAGGAGCAGCTCTCTCACCGATGGGAAAGCGGATGATTTCGTAGTAATCTGGAGCCTCTGATTTCTTCACTGGTTCCATGAAGGGCCAGGCTTCAGGGTGAGTCTGTTGAGAGATAAAGTCTGGGTTAGCCTCTGATCTTGTTACTCCGGTGGTGTGTGTCAACAGGTGACTCTTACCTTTATCTGGGCCAGGAGGTTCTTCAGCATGTTGTATAACACGTCAGGGTCCTTCACCTCTTTCCTACAGAACATGTAAAATGATAATTACGTAAAATATTAAACTAACGAGACTAAACGTACATGGAGAGATAAAAACTACAATCCAGAACAAATGGCCTAAAATAACATAAGTAATGTTCACTTGCATTGTTATAGGCTTGTTGATGAATCCCGTTTATTTCATCAACACCCACAAGTCAGACATATTTTGGTGTCCAAACATTTAATGATGGATTTTTCTTTAACTGGTATTGATAAGGTCAGTCTGGGACTCAGAGGGTGTGACATGAATTTCTTTAGAAAATGTATATTTGCTTCATGGATTTACAATCTCAGAATCTTATGAGGAATTAATGCAGATTTTAGCGATTTTTGTAATTATTAAAAGGTTTTGAAATTTTTGAAATGTACTAACAGTTTTTAATACTAATCCAGATTTTTCAATTCCTTTTTTGTGATGGTATTTTGTGAATGTTTAATGAATTTGCTATTTGTGGTATTTTGTTGTGCTGGCGTTAGATGTGCTACATCCTTTAGATCCTATCTTTTGTTTTATTTTGCAATAAAACTTATGATCAGCTCAAGCGTGCATATCAATATTAACAGGTATGATTGAAAGTTTTAGTTCACATGATTACAGAGAGCAAAGATGTTAACTTTAAATGTTTAAAGGGGCAGCAGTGGTTGAACATTGTGACTGTTATAGAGACTGCTGAATAGTAGCAGCAGAATTTGGCGTAAGATTTGAAAATGTCTGACTTTTTAAGATTAAGACACTGCTGCAAACAGAAACTCATGTCACTTCTCTGTGTCATTGTCACATAAAAATTCTACACACATTGTCTTTAAATTCGCATGTTGCTGTATCCATTGTGTTTTTATTGCAGAGCTAATTGAAAGAAAAATGACTAAAGAGGAAACACACAAACAGAACCTGGTTCCAATCATGGTACACAAGCATCTACACTACAACACCGATTCAAAAATATATGCAAAGAGTTTTTACCCTTTGTCCTTGTTACTGGGTTTCCAGCCTGTCTCTCCTGAAAGAAAAAGACTGGTAAGTTATATGACAATGCCAGTTTCTAAAAATATTTTTTCTTCACCGTACACAAACCAAACACTTACTTATGCCTGGAATGCTCTCTACGGGGATCTGTCGTACGCCCTCTTTGAAGCAGGTGAGGCCTGGGTAAACTTTTCTGATCTGGCTCTGTTTCCTCTCAATCAGCTTCTTAATGATCTGATATGACAATTTTCAGGTGTATGTGATAATAAAACCACAAATTAGCGGCAGGAAACACAGTCTTTGCTTTAATGAGAACATCAGACAGCCTCACATACCTCTTTCTGTCTTTTAATGATATGAGAGAGTTCAGTGTAGGGGATTCTCGGGTTCAGCTCACACTCCATGAGGGTCGCTCCTTCGTAGTCTTTGATGTATCCCAGGTATCGACTCTTCGGCACTTTGATGTCTTTGGAAAAGCCCTGCGAGGAAGGAACAAATTACTGAGCGGACAAGATAGCGGGAGAGGACGTGACGGAGCTAATGTGTAGGTCATGCCGGCAGTACCTGCTTCTTGAAGTAGCCAATGGCGTATTCGTCTGCGTAAGTGAGAAAATAGAGGATGTTGTGTTTGATGTGGTACTCCTTCAGGTGGTTCATCAGGTGGGTACCGTAGCCCTTAAAGTCACACCAGAGAGAAGACATTTGAAAAACAGGACTCTTACAATAGGTATCTCAATACTTCTGTGATCTTTCCAAATACCAGTGCTCGTTATGTTAAAAGGGGTAAAGTGGATGGAAGAAAGGCTGACCTGGAAAAAGTATAGTTGTGTTTTTCTTTAGCATAGACAATCAACACACAGACATCATAATGGAAAATAAGTACTAATTACTAAAACAGTACTAATGAGAAGTTGGTAGCTTTTTTTCTTTTTTGAGGTATGCTTTTACAACTGCTACAAATGGATAAGCTATGAGACGCTGCAACAAATTGACAAGTGTGAACAAGCATCTTATTAGTCTATTTGGACCCCCTCTCATGAGAGGAAATGGTTACTATGTACCTTAACTTGTTCATTGGATGTGACAGCACAGAAGACGATCTCTGTGAAGCCCTGAGTGGGAAACATCCTAAAACAGATGCCTCCAATGACGCGGCCATCTTTGATGAGGGCTAGGGTCTTGTGCTTCCTGTGAAAGCGGGACATGTCAGGACTGTGCAAATGCATCCAGTAACGTCCAACACGTGGTATAAGAAAACCTACTTACGGGTCAAACACCAGTCGTGTGATGTACTCTTTGGGCATGCGAGGTAACTGATGAGAGAAGACGTTCTGCAGACCGACCAGCCACATCAGGATCTTCTTGTTGGACTTCTGGGACAGTGAGTTTCCAATGACGTGGAACTCTATTATGCCCCGCCTCTCCTCCAGCCTGGCAGTCTCATCACGGGCGGCATTGGGTGTCAGCAGATTAGTCTAGCAGCATAAACATCAACCATCAGCACTACAATCTAAGTTTTGCTTTCACCTTAACAAATCACCTGAGGTTAAATGACTTACCTCTGGTCCAAGCATAGCAGCAGGGTCAGTGATTGTCATCATAACTTCATTGACCAGCTCCATAGGAATGTCTCCCATCACACGTATCCTCTTAGCATCCTCCAGGGTCAACGCCTCGGGAAGTTTACGTTTTTCTCCTGAACAGACAGCGACATTTCTCAGGTCAAGGCAAGGAAAAGACACAGCTGACAATGATTGTAGAATCGTCAGTGTTATTGTTTCATTAACAATAATTATTTCTTTTGTGATTTTGGTCATTTAACAGCATGAGACATTTGTGAGTCCGACTGTAGCTGCTAAGAATCTGGTAGACAGGTAATCAAAACAATATGAGAGCAGAGCTGTTCTCACAGACCTGTGATGGGCTCTGCACCTCCAGTGTCCATGCTGCCCAGAGAGGAGATGCTACTCAGACCTTTAGACAGAGCAGGGGAGCCAGACACTGCAGCAGGACTGATCACTGCAATGGAGAGACACCAAGATACAGGCAATTAATTACAGACTGTAAAAGAGGAACTGTGACAAGAGCTAAGGCCATATATTCATATATGCATTGTATTTACTACTGCTATTTTTATATTATGTGTATATCATACAATATTGATACCTACTTAACAAGTCACAATACCACCTAAGTAAGAGTTTCTGTTGCTGTAACACTTGAATTTCTCCTCTGGATATCAGTTAAGTCCACAAAAAAATCATTTTTGCAATAGGAATGTTTCACATTTGTTAGTCTGTACTCAGTTGTTACAGCTTTTAACTCTCCAACATCTGGAATTTCTATAATTTCTGCTTGAGAATAGCAAGTTTTCAGTCCCATGGTTAAATGACTCAATAGACGATTTGAGAATATAGTAGAATATTATCAGGCTATACAACACCTCAGCCAAAGGAAGTGGACAAATCTAATTATTATTGTTTATGTATTATTAACTGTTATTATTATTATCAACAATGAGCTAATGGAATGAATATCCCCAAGGGGATGAATAAAGTATATTTGAGAATAGAAGACTCATAAAATATGTACATGATGTGATTTTGTATTGTCTGGTCTCATCCCACTAACTGGATCATATCAGGTTATAAACCCTCTGCACCTGTCTGATGTCCTAGCTGTGTGCCATCGGATGCAGGCATGGTGAAGTCAGCTTCCCAGATGGGTGAATTCTCGCCATAGATTTCCTCCTCCAGCATAGACAGAAACCTGATGACAACACATGTTCAAATGAGTACATTTGAACACAGACGGGTCTCAAACAGATTCACACAGCTTGATCGCTGCTAAATATGCTTGTGCATAAATACAAATCCTCTATAACCTTGCATGAGCTTTTTGAAGCCAATATATACACCTGGCCTTTTCCAACACACATCTGTCAAAGCAGATACAGATTCTGATTGCACCAGCATTTCTACAAATGCAGCTGAAAGACCAGTGAGAACCATGAAAATTACTATCATTTTACTAATCTTAAAGTAGCACAGACACCAACGAGTGGAATAAAAGAAGAAAAGGGAACCTTCTATCGAAGCCAAATGTTTTCAGCTGTTTCTTTGTCATTAGAGGTCAGAGGTAGACACAATTTTTAAGGATCTGCCCTTACTTGGGGAAGTGTGTGAGGATGAGCGTGCGTTTCTCTGGCAGCAGTTTATCCTTCTCCACTCTGAACTTCTCCAGGAGCTGGCGTCGGGTCACAGTGAAGATGGACTTGAGCAAGCTGCGGCCAAACACCTGAGTGGTTTCATAGCGCGGGAGGCTGTCGTTACTCTGGGGGACATGGCAGTAGCACAGCCACCTGGGAAGCATAAGCAAAAACACTGAGATTGTACAAACTGATTAAGCATCCAACATAGAAATCTAGCAAGTAAATGCATGTACCAGCCTATTTATTCATTAGTAACAATAGAAGCAAGTCACTGATATGATATACCGCTTCCTAAAATTACAACACACCTGGTGTAGTCTACTTTGTATGCTGTCCCATCGTCTTTCTGTGTGCGCTGGCGATACTGTGTTGGTGTCTCCAGCTTCCAGTAATTTAGGCACAAGAGGAACATTTTTGACAGTTCAAACATGGTCTGCCTTTCCTTTGGTGCCAGGTGGCTGAACTTGTACTGAACAAAATTCAAAACCCCCTTTGAAATATAAAGGAAACAAAAAAAAAAGATCCAAAAAAAAAAAAAAAAGAAAATAGACAGAGTTAGACAAATGTGAAATATGATGATGCTGCATCCTAGCAAACTATACGAAGCATGCCCATTTTCAGAGAAGAGCAGTATAATCCTGTTACTCTTTCAGCAGCTGCTAAACATCTGGACATGAACTAAGAATGCTTTTAGTGTCATGTTCACCTGCTCAATGTTGGGCTTTTCAAAGGGTGGACTTCCAAGGGATCCCTCTACAACAGGCTGGCTCATCTGCAGGATGCATTTCCTCAGCAGCTAAAGGAAAAAGGGGTAGACAAGAACAATGTTGCTTGCTGATAGATGACACTGAGGATAAGTTATCAGGGCTAAAAAAAGATTAGCAGGTGGGAGTTCAGTGTGAAATGGACTCAACATTAATGGTTGGTCTGTTTTACCCATTACACTGATGTGACAAAGGTTAGCTTACCTTGAACAGATAGAAGTAAACCTGTTTGGTATCAGTGTCCTCCTCTTTGTGCACAGACATAAAAAGGTTCTCCACATCCACCACCATCCCCAACAGCCTGTTAATCTCATCCTCGGACACATTCTCCAAGTGGGACACATGATCAGCTGTAAATAAGGTATTATATAAACAAATATGGCAAACGTGAGGTGTTAAGAAATGAGAGGTCACTGGTATATAGCTTTTTGGGAGACAGGCAGGGGAGTGCTGAAGTATATGTGGAGGTTGTTTGTACCCAGAGCATGTCCACAGCTGCGGCACGGCTCGCTCAAGCTGGCTGCTTGCTGTTGCAGATCCATACGTGTGGCTGAAGGTGGATTCGGGTTTTTCCATCCATTGCACTTGCATGTGTCACTAGCCTGAGAATAGGCAAAATATGCCGAACACCAATTAAAGCCATTTAAACAGTAACTCAGCTGCTGGTTTTGCACGTCAATGAATGATTAAACCATTAAGCTAGCTGATACTAAATCAGATATTTAATGTGAATGACACAAGTATCCGGAGACTATGGCTGGCTAGCTAGCTACAAAGTTAACAATTACGTTAGCTCGTTATGCTTTTTAGCTAATGTTTTTGTTTGCGTTGTCCTGGCTGTAATACCATTTGCTACCCCACGTTCACAGTTGCTAATAGTACCCGGAGAGTGCTTTGTTGTGGTGAACTTTAGCTAAGCTAGCTACCTTGCATGCGGAGAATACGCCAAGTTTCTCAAGCTTTTTCGCCCGTGGGAAAGCTCGGACTTGGGCTTTCTTCTGGCTTGCACGCTGTTGCTGGCTAAGTCCCGGTCTGGCCGGGTCACTATTTCCTGGCCCGGAGCCTGTCGCAGCAGTACTGGACCCAGCTGACCCAGTAGACTGGGCTTGGAGAAGCCGGGGTTGCAAGGCCTGAGCCGCCGGATCCGACATATCCACGCTGCTAGACTGGTCCTCTGCTCCGATTTTGCTCGTTAGCTGCCTTCACTGGCTGTCGAAAAATTGGACACGGGAATGACACACTAGTGTCAAGAAGTAGAAATGGCTTTTTCAGATTTTTCCTTCAAACCAGATATGTTAAAACAGACAGAAAACACAGAGAGTACACACTAGTGATTTCAGGCTTCAAGCTGATTATCTTATTCAATATCAATCAGTCAAATCAGAACTATAACACCAAAATATATCGATTACTTGCTTCAATATACCAAAACTACATCCTGCTATTAAAGCGGCCACGTTACATCAATGTCCCCACAGGCACAGCATAAGCATGGATCTTCAATTCCGCAAATTTTCGCGATTTTATTTTGAATGTTTTTACTGCAACTGTTGGCGTGAGACTATTGTAGGTGTGTAGATGATAGTTATGAGTGTATCCTGAGTATTCAGTGCCCTCGAGTGGCCATAGCGCATAACTACAACTCTGGCTATTTTGAAATTGTTGATTTAACATTAACGAACCGGATCAAGGTTGACGGTCGCAATGACAGCGTTTATTATTGTCGGAATACACTGTGTTTTTTTTTTATTTTTGAATAATTTAACTGAAAGTATTTCTGTGCTTTTGTGTCCTGCCATGCCAGTGTAGTGCAGTTGTAGTTCACCGTAGCCACAGGAAATCAGTCTTATTGCCTCTAGTGGTCATAGTATGGAACTGCAACATAATATATTGTAAAACTGGCGTTATTACACCTATAATATAATTGGAAACGTTTTCAAATTTCAAATTAAAGTTTGAAGCAATTAAAAAAAAGAACTATCCCAAATTAAACTGAAATGATTATGTTAATTGTTCTGTAGTGATCACAGTTACAGACTAAAAATCACATTCTCTTTGGAGATATCAAGAAGGGTTATCAGTCATGTTAGTACTAATAATATTGATAATGTTCATTCTGTCACCAAATAATAGCCTCACATCATGTAATTGATTCAATTTAACAGCCCTGCAATTATTACTGTTATATTAAAAGTCTTTATTATTAGACAATTTGGAAGGATTTCCAATGATTAAGTGTCAGATTATCTGCCTAGGGTAGACCAAATTCTATCTTTCAAGACATGATTAAACACAGAAGAACCTGTGTTACAGTACCTAACCTGCTACACAAGTGTAATTGCACCACTTTGGGGATGCCAGCATAACAAGTGCACTTGAAAGCAACACCTTGCCTGTGGTTATCATTATGGGTAATGTAGTGTTTGGACATAAATCACATCATCACTGGTAAAAAACCCTAATTCAAGTAACATATTAATTTCTACATGTTATATATACATCAGAATTTGTTTCATATGATTTCTATTTTCTGCTTTCAAGAGCTGGGATGGAATAACTTGAGGTTTTTTACTTCGTTAGCACCTTTATATTTTACCATTTAAATAAGTTAAAAGCATCATCAGTAAGTTTAAGTAAGAACAGACACAAGAGAAAACAAGACAAACATTTTGTAATCCTTAAATGATTCCCTGATGTCTTCCAGTAATATGTTAAAATGTGTGTCAATTTCTCAAGATCAAATTGCTCATAAATATATTTTGAGTATTAGAGAAATTACCACATAAACTTCCAGTAAACTGAAACCAGCTTGTGTTCATTTTAGCAAAGAAAATGAAACCAATTAGGTTAAAATTTTGATTTTAAAGAACTTCCAGCATCTTGAACATGTGATGGGAAAGAAACGCTAAGGGGAGGATTGCCAGGATTGAACATTAAAGTACTAGTAAGTATTAAAAGTACAGCCAACTTGTGGCAGGCTGCACAAATTCAATACATTATTGATTGTCAGTCACTGCCGATTGGTTGGAGTGGTTTAAATATCAAAGAATAATCACTGGTGATTGTAACTAGTTATAAAAAATGACGAACCTAAGTGATTGGTAAAATTTAGATGAAATTAAAACAGGCATACAAAGAAAGATACCTTCCCCTTGTTTATTCATAAAATTACACTTTTTTCTTCCTTCTCTACCCATGACCCCACCCTGCCCATTATCCCCCACCGACAGCAGTGGCTGCTGTGCAGGTATTGTTGTGCTAGTCTTTGATGCCATAACAAGATGACAACACTGTTGAAAGCAATCCCTCCCTGATATGAAGAGTAAAAACAAATAGAGAATAGAAACAGTAAAGGAAGAGGATAACATCTCAATTCACAAAGATGATGAGACAGAACCAGTGCATTTAATACCATAGATCTTCAGAAAAAAAAAATTCAGACATAAAAAAAAAAAAAAAAAACACAAAATAATTAAGGTTGACAGAAAATCATGTAGAGATTGGGAAGATATTGTTTTGACAATAACTACTGATTGATTATAAACTTGAAAAGTCTGATACAAATACAGCAACATGTTTTCAATACACAGTTGTGATTTTGGTCAAGAAAACAAATCTTGCTTTATGTATTTGTCTTTGTACAATGATGATTCAAAAACATTACATTAATGCTAAAATTACTTATGGGTGACAGTGTTAATAAAGTACTATTTACTGTATATGGTTTGATAACATAGATTGATGATTGTAAAACCTTTAAGTCCAGGCTTTAAAATCATATTGAACAGTCAAAAGAGGTTGAAGTCATAATAATAGTGATGACAATAACAATGTAATAATTCAATCTACACAGCTCTATCAAGAAGGAAATATCTGTCCATTCCCGCTCTCCTGTTACGAACCTTCTCTCTTCATCTTTTCCAGGAAGCTGACCAGGAACAAGACAGAAAAGTGATGGACTGCGGCATGCACCTGGATTTGAGTTTTAACAGTGTCATGAGATGATGAGAATACTTTAGAAATGCATGGTGCATGGGAAAGCAGGGGGCAAAAGAGAAGACAGTGACAGGGCCAATGACCCCGTTTATATTCCTTCCTGTTGTGTTAATTTTTTTTCCTCTACACATATACAGAAACAAAGATGAGCAAGATGGCCCTATTAAGTGCCATTGGTAATGACTGATCTTTTTTTTCCTTCTTCCAAGAGTGGGACGTTTTTCCCCTAAGGTGACGTCAAGTGTCCATCATCAATAGAGAGGTCATGGATTGGCAAGTCCTGGGGTTCAAACAAGATTCTGTAAATAAGCCTGTGGGTTGATTTCTTGGTCTGTTGATTGGTTCATCACTTGGAACCATCAAGGGGAGGGGGGGGGGGGGGGGGGGGGGGGGGGTCTGGCAGTTTACTGGCCAGTGGACTTATTTGCCAAACAGTTAATTGGTGCTGATAGGGTGGTTGGTCAGACCATGGCTTGGTTTGACCAATGGGACATTGTTTGACAGCTGGCTAATATCTGGTCTGGTTGATCGAAGCTGTAGATTGGTTGGATCAGCTGACTCATTGTGTTGGTTAGTTCCCGCCTCCACAACACTGGCCACTTCTGCCATGCGGTGCAGTTTCCTGCAGGTCCACGCCGCCTCTGGCTCGTCCAGCAGTGCCTGCTCCACCCTGAGGCTCGTTCTTAGGAAGCTTCTTGGCTGTTGAGGTGTAGAAGTGTAATCCATTAATTTGTGCACTATGGTACTGTGACATTAGGACTGCAACTAACAAGTATTTCATTATCAATTCTGCTGATTATTGTCTTTATTAATCATTTTGTCTATAAAACATTGTCTACAAATACTTGTCTACAAAACTGTAAAATGAAATAATAAATCAATTAATCAAGAATATATATAATTTATGATTAATCAATAAATATTTTTTAGTCGCATTAAGCATTATTTTTCAAGATAGTTACAGACTTACTTTCATTTGATCAGCTAACTGTTGCAGCTCTACATGACAGTAAAATGTGTCTGTGTTGACTCACCTATAGCCATAAAAATCTCATTGACATTCATAGCAGTCTTGGCTGAAGTCTCCATGAAGAGCAAACTGTTGTCATCTGCATATGCTTGTGCTTCCTAGAGAAATAAATACAACACAGATATATCTCTGGGCAATTTGGCAGCTTATATTCATTTATTGAAATATGTCATTAAAAAACTAAAACCCTCAGTGTAAAACTGTGTCTCTTTACCTGGAAATCTACAGCTCTCTTGTTGGCCAGGTCTGCTTTGTTCCCTGCCAGTGCAATAACAATATTTGGGCTGGCTTGTCGTTGGAGCTCCTTCACCCAGTTCTTTGCACGTGTGAATGTGTCCTTTAACAAAAAGTGAAACATGTTTTAAACTTTAAACCACTGATGCAAGTTTTAAATGTTTAATTTGACTGTAAGAGTTAGAAGAGCAAAGGTCTGTCTGCTGAATTAAGCAATCATCAACCCAGGCTGGAAGACAAGGGTCAGCTAACAAATGACATAAGACTTTTGAGTGTCACAGTCCAGGTAACTTACTGTGTTGGTGATATCGTAGACCACGATGGCGGCCTGGGCTCCCCTGTAGTACATAGGTGCCAAACTGTGATACCGTTCCTGTCCTGCAGTGTCCCAGATCTCAAACTTGACTGTTGTATCATCCAAACATACCGTCTGTGTGAGGAAGGCAGCTGGAAAAAACAAAATAGATATTCAGTCTTTTTGACTGAGAGGAGGTGCTATATGTAAAAAGCAGAAAATCACAGACCCGTTATCTACAGGGCTTAAGTTTAATAATTAAGCCTCAAAACGCAAAGATTAAGGCTCTGATGAAACAATGAGGAACATCACACAGTCACTCGATTGACAAAAAGAGAATATAGATGGTTTAAATTAAATTTGGTGAGATATGGTTCTCTATTGACCATACTGAAAGGGACAAACCATCCAGCAGTAAGTTGTTAGCACTGCTGGTAACAACTTTACCCCCTCAGACTTGACTAGAATTACAAAACCAGCACAATTAAGAAAATAGAAGATTAAATAATAGTGAAAATACACAAAAAGATTCTGTATAGTGTAGCTTATGAATGGCAGGAGGCACAACTGCATACAAGTCACTTACTCAGCCGACTGTCACATGACA